GAACGGATGACCCACACGTTGATCGCAACGAGATCTCATCTAGTTAAGGACTGCCGTCTTCAGCGGAAGACCTTCTTGTTATTCTTCGGTTTCTTTTTCACTTTTTTTCTTCTATATTATTATTCTTTTTTTTCTTACCGATTTTGTGCACGCGATTTCTCGAAAACGGCTCGATGAATTTTAATGAAACTTTCAGGACTTATGTAACATTATTTGAACCTGATACAATTTTTTTTATTTGATGACGTCACTTCCGGTTCGGAGATATTGCCGATTTTATGATTTTTGAAGGGTCAGGTTGTCCGCAGACTTTCTAAGAAATGGTTCTAAATAGAATCATGAAACTTTTAGGCATGATAGTCCTAAAACTATAGATATGCGTCAGGTATTTCATTTTTATCGGAAGTGCCGCATGTCGGCGCTCGCTATGACCCGAAAAATGACATATTGCGAATTTCATAATTTTAACACCTTTTCTACGATATCTTTTTACCTGGAAATAATTTGATTAAACATATAGAACAAAAGAAGTGTAGAATTCCAAGATCTTTCAAATGATATCTCAAAAAAAGGGCTGGTCCCTAAAATTAAGGGCCTAGAGGGGCCGAAAGTTTTTTGTTTATATCTCAAAACGTGTTGAGAATTTGTAATACGTCAAAGAAGCAAAGTTGTTCAAAATGTCAAGCTTTATCTAATGGGGTCGTCAAAATACGTCCGGCGTCGTCACTTCCGGCCAAACCGGAAGTAGTCGGAAAACACGTATTTTTGCCGTTCTAGACAAATTTTTGGATAATATATGTCTCTGGTAGCATAAATTTAATTTTCCGTCCGTCGTCGTCACTTCCGGTCAAACCGGAAGTAGCCAAAAATAACTTATTTTGAAGGTTTTGATGCAAAATTGAAATTATAAAGTCACTGGAGACAACTTAGCTCATTGCTTTCTTGTGTTGATGTCACTTCCGGAACTTCCGGTCAAAACCGGACGGAAGACCTACTCGTTGCTTTGCAACGAGCTTAGCTCTAGTTATTATTATTATTAAGGTCTTTCAACTTCCTTCGGAAGACCTTATTGTTATTCTTAACTTTTTTTCATAGTTACGGCATATCTCAGCTGTGAATGTACGGATTTCAAAGATTTTTACATGAAAGATGCATCAGGTTAATATCTCTTTTATTTTTTCATTTTTTCAAAATTTGCTTCCATGCGCGATTTTGGGGGAAATTTTTATTTTTTTAATGGAGCTTTGTCACTTAGTTTCCTCGGAAACGACGATACATATTAAATTAAAACTCATGGACATGAAAGAGCATCACATGTAGATGTGCATTACGTTCTTCATTTTTCGTCGTTTTAACTTCCGGTCGCAAACGGAAGTGAATTCAAGAAGTTTAATTTTTCATTTTTTTTGTTTTTCAATATTTTTCGTTCGAATTTACAGGGTTAATTGAGTGTTTTCAAAGATATCTAAATATGTATTCATTTGTTTCATGCGTGCATTTATTACAAAGATATGACCAAACCAAACTTTGTCCCACTGTCGGGGTTCGAATCCCGCTGGGGGCGTTGCCAAATTTTTTCTTTGTTTTTGTCTTTTTTTCAGATGCAAACTACTTTTCTCTCTTTCATAACATGTATGGGATAGTTTGCGGATTTTAAAAAGCTGTTTTTTTGCGAAATAGTAATAATCACGATCTATGTTGAGAGATTACTGTAAATGAACGTAAACGAAAAAAAAATTCTAAAATCTATTTCGTGGGATGACGCAGCATAGAACTCTAAAGAATAGTCGGTCGGAAGACCTGCTTGTTGCACTAGCAACGAAAACGCATCTAGTTATTCTTTTTTTTCATATTTAATCTCCGGTACTTTTTTGTTCTCAGAAACTGTTCACCCAACTAAGTTAAAACCTTTTTAGGGTTAATAGGTATGTAGTGTAGGTGTGCGGAACGAAGGTCATTTTGCGCGCATACTCGTGCACGTGCGTGCGAGTGAAATGAGTGAATTGACCGATATACGTAATATAGCAATAACTTTTACATTTTATGATGAAAAGCTTTGACATTCATTATAAAAGGATATATAATGTAGATAGCATGACATGTTTAAATTAGCACGAACTCATGCGCATGCACGTGCGCTTCGCTCTGATTGGCTGAATCAAAATCTCAATATCTTTTTTTGTTTTTTGACGAAATGCTTTGAAACTTTAAACATAGTCATTAGGACATGCTACAATATGATTTTTAACAATTATAATGAAAACACTCGCATGCACGTGCGCTGCAATCTGATTGGCTAAAACTTTAAATGGCTATAACTCTCTTGATTTTCAACCAAACAGGGTGGGAATACGAGCATATATAGATAGACATAATAGACTCCTACTAAATGGTGTGATCATCATGCACATGCATGCAGGTGCGTGCACATGAAATTAGTAAAATTAATAATACACTTGATTGAGCGTAATTTTTAATAATTTTGGATAAAATGCTCTATTATTTTATTATATTAAAGTATATAGATAGTGTAGACACGATAATATGATCATTACGCACACGCATTTACACGCGTGCAATGCTAAAATTTGAATATACTTGGTATACTTCTTGGAAAAGTTGTTTAGGTCTAAAAATGCATAGAGTGTGTCTTATTTAATGAAGCTTACAGGGAATATGGCACGAAATATGAAATATGAAAGCCTTAAGGACAGATGATACAAACAAAAAATTGATGCCTGGATTGGTATATATTTTTTGGCCTAATTTCATTTCAAATGATGCAAATAATTAATTTTTAGAATATAACGAAATTGTAAACCTTCCGTGATGTTCAAAAGTCTGCCCGTCTGAAACCATCCTTATTAATCTATACAAATATTTTTCTTTTTAAATTCCATTTTTGTCCAAATTTGAATAAAGTTCAAAACTACTCAGTGAAAGTAATTCATTTTATTCCTTTAAACATGACCGAATTGTTGCTTGCAAAATCTTTTACAAAAGTTTGTATCATGTGTCCTTAATACTATCAGCTCAAAAGTTACGATCAAATTAAGTTTTTTTAAAGTCGATCAAACTTTACCCATTGAAAGGTCTTGTCACAATAAATACACAAGTGAAATGTAAAAGCCCTAGCACCAACTGTTCAAAAAGGTTAAATTTAGTGCAACGGTAGAATGGTCTTGTCACAATGAATATCTAGGTCTGTGATATATGAATGCCATACTTCCACTAACTGAAAAGTTTTTGCAGACAGACAGGGCAAAAACTATATAATGTACCCAATAATCTTTGATTACAGGGGCATAAAACTTATTCCTCATTGTCATGAACTTATTCTTTTTGCTTCAACTTAGGAGCATTATATAGATTTTCAATGAATTAATGCATCTTCAGTAAATGATCAATTTAGCTGTGTCTTTCCATCTGATCCACCTGTCCTAGGGCTATGGATTTCATAATTCTATTAGGACTCAATGTTCATTACAATCCTGCTAACAGTGTGCTTGATGTAAAATTAAAAAAAAACAATATTGAATAATTTTGACTGGTTTACCTCCCCTGAGGCTGGGCCCGGGGGGTTCAAATGTTACCAGACAGCGCACAGTGTATGGTGATGGAAAAAATCAGTATACACCTATTTAATGGCTAAGAGGACAATAGCTAGTTTATCGTCCCCCAAGACAGCAACAATTTTCCAAGGTGCAGCCGAGGAAAATAGTTTGCTGTCGAGGGAGATTATAAAGTAGCTATTGTCCGAATAGTCAGTAAATAGGTGTTTTATTATACTGAAGCTGACTTATATGTTACGTCCGATTTCCGAAATGAAAAATTGAGCTTACAGTCTGCATTAATCTTTCATAGCTTGGCATTGATCCATCTGTTTATGTGTGTGTTGCAAGTGTATACGATGTTAAAAAAAATTAATATGAAAAGCTTCAAGTTAGTATTCGCAAGTCTAAACGCAATGTGATCGGAAAATCATTTCTTTTTAAGAGTATTTCAAAATCAAGTTATGCTAGTTAAACTTTCAGAATCTGTTTTGAAGACCATTCTTGGCATTTAGGTGTTTACAAAGATGAGCTTCAGCCAGAGTCATTGAGTGCATATTTAAAATCACATAAAAATTCACAATCTCAAACACACAAGATTTATATTCATACGGATGCACAGGCGCTGCTTTAAGAACTCGCAGTGAGGAGCATCGCTTCGCTGCGCTAGCTATAATCAAATAGTGATAAAAAGCAGCTCATGGAAAATGTAAATGTAACTTAAATGAATACACTCATATACATGTATGTTTTGGAATGTAAATGGTGACTTACAGATCTAAAAACCTGACTCCTGATCCAAACTGAGCATAAAACTAATTATGACTTGACGTTATGTATCTCTTCAAACTATTTAAAGCTTTTCTTGTTAATCATGTGCCATGCTACATCGGTTTCGAGCAACTGTCTGAGTGGTTGATTCTTAATATACACATTTTGAATAAACTTTCCCAAAGAAGATGAGGATAAGGCGGCCGAAGTGCCTATAGTGCGACAGATAAGAAGTGAAAATTTTAATCTCAATTATATTTAAACTTTATTTGATATTTCATCTAATATTTAAGTATACTTAAGGAGGCTGGGGGGTCAACAAATAAACCAAAAATTTACCACCAGAATTAACATATTTTTTTAGATATGGTATATTAAGCTGTCATCTATTATTTGGAAAAGAAAAAATTCCTACATTTAAGTTTTAAAATTTTTCATTTTTTATATCTTTATATGGAGCTCTTCTTTTAAAGGAGATCGAAATAGTCTGAAAATGTCTGCCACCCCCCAGCCTCGTTAATGTAAAATCTCATAAAGACTGAAAATATTTGCCTATGCACACACTAAAAAGAACGAAAACGATCATTTTCCCATAATTTAACAATTTTTTTTCAGTAAGAGTTGGTCTTCCCTCCATTTTTTAAAAGATAATCCTAAAAGTTTACATACATTAATATACTTTAATTTCCAATCGTTTATCGGAGATTATTGATCCCCTCGCATAGGAGATGAAGAGGGTATAGAGACGTGCTTGTACGTAATTTTGTTAGTGTGGGTGTTTGTACCACTTCGTCATTAGGCGACTTTACATCAAAATCGATTTCAGTTGTTGTCTTAAAAAGTCTTTTCTACAAAACAAGGCATTAAAATATCAAAAAGAATAATTACTGTGTAGTGCAGACCCGCTGAAAAAGAATATTTGTTGTTTATGTCTTTGCTGCTTTCTTCTACTTCTAATTTTTGTTTCCCTGTCCTACACGAATATCAAGAAAAATAAAAGATGGGTCTATGTATAAATCCAGTTTTCAACAAACATGTCGCCGACTCTCAAAATGTGACAATAGAATGTATGGTGTTTGGTCACTCAGTCCTGTGGTCACTGCTTAAACAATGAATAATGTCATCATATCAACGGTAGTTGTTTACACGGTTGTTGTAAAGGATATAAGTGAACGGGTTGTATAACTAGTAATTTATTATCACTTTGTATTTATTTTGACAAAAGTAGAGATTGTAACCACTTGTAAACTCCACAGTCTTAGCATGTCTTTTCTACAGAATGTGACGGGGGAATGTATGGAGTTAACTGCACTCAGTCCTGTGGTCATTGTCTAAACAATGAACAATGTCATCATATCAACGGTAGTTGTTTACTAGGATGTTCTCCTGGATACAAGGGATCAGACTGCAAAACTAGTAATTTATCATTAATCCACATTTCTTTTGACAGAGATTATCAATATTTAATCACTCGAATGTACCACTTATATACACCGGAATGAATTACTATAACTTATATGTATGTTTTATTCAATAACAGAAACTTATAAGGATATAAACAAACAAACAAAAATGAGAAAATGATATCATAATGGTTTTTACTTTTAGAATATATAGAATGTGACGGAGGGATGTATGGTATAAACTGCACTCAAGTCTGTGGTCACTGCCTTAATTATGAACAGTGCCATCATATCAACGGCACTTGTTTACAAGGATGTTCTAAAGGATACAAGGGGTCTCTCTGCAAGTCTGGTAAAGTATTAGAATCCTTGCTTCTTCCTCAAACCTTGTAAATATATTATAAGCATATTTGCATATTTACTATAAAACAAAATTTTTATTTTCAAATTGATACAAAATAAAACAATATCTAAGGGAATTTTTTTTGGCAATAGTTTGCGATGGTGGACTGTATGGAAACAACTGCAACCAAAGTTGTGGACATTGTATAAACGATATTCCGTGTAACCACGTCAGCGGTTTATGTTTTGAAGGGTGTTCTATCGGATTCAAGGGATTGCTTTGTGACAAAGGTATCGAATTTGCAATGTCAATATCAATTTTATGAAAGGATAACAGAAAAAAATTGATTAAATAAGTGCAAATGAGGTTAAGTGTAAATTCTGTCCAAAAAGAAAAATATAAAGCGAAATTGAGAGTATGTTTTAAAAACTGTTTAAGAACATCAGATTTTGAATGAGCCATATCTATTTGCACATCTTCTCATAAAAGTGGATATTTTCTATTGATTGACATTAAAATATATAGTTTTTCAAAGATTACTGTAAAAAATAAGTTGAAAAAACAATATGCATTCTTTTATTTTTCCTTTTTATAAGATTGTTTTGACATATTCCGATTTAAATTTTAAACTGAATATGTTTAATTGTTCGGTAATCAGATTTCTTTCAAAATTATTTTTTTAAAATTCATTATCAGCATGTGACAGTAGAATGTACGGTGTTAATTGCAATCAAGTCTGTGGCCATTGTCTGAACAATGAACAATGCCATCATATCAACGGTACTTGTTTACAAGGATGTTCTAAAGGATACAAGGGACCGGGCTGCAACGCTGGTATGTTGGGTTTTTTTTTGGGGGGGGGGGGTGGTGGGTGGGTGGGTAAGAATCCGTGTCCAACTTCCTAGTTTGAATTAAGATCTAAAAAAAAAACCCACAGGATGAAAATCCACCATTCAGTCGACTGAATGGTAACTGAATGGCCACTGAATGGTCACTGAAAGGTCACTGAAAAGACCCTTTCCCGTGACATTTTCGTGATCATTCAGTTACCATTCAGTCGACTAAATGGCACATACATTTCAGTGACCTTTCCGTGATCATTCAGTTGAATCTTTTTTATTGAATAATCGGCTTATTTTTTTACCTAAAAATTTATTTCACTTTTTCCCGGTACAATAGCATTAAATGTATCTAATTCCGAATAAAAAAAATAGGAAAAAAATTAATACAAGAAAAAAATTGCTCCCATGCCCAGAATCGAACCCTGGTCTCCTGCTTAGGTGTCCGCTACCTTATCGATTACGCTACGACTTGTTGTTAAAGTATGAGGGTTTAAAATCAATTAATTTATAGAAATCGATGGAACAATCAGTTCACCTGTTGTATCGAGGAGCTGCGATTTGTATATATCTTGTATATCTTTTGTATATTCTATGCTAGTTGCGCGGATTTTGGGGACAGACTAATTAGTTACACATCTCCTATCGGGATGATGACAATTATCAGAGACGGGCACCTGTTCCTGTGTCAAAGATTTAAGATCGTTGTAAATTCTCTCTCTAGAAACTAATAGAAGAATGATTTTATTAAATCAATATCATTTACAAAGATAAAATCTACTATATTTTTTTCTACAAGAGGCATGTATAAACGATTTATTTACTCTTGTAATTAAAAATGAGTTTAAAATAATGTCTTTCAAAAACTAAATATCCTGCAGTTTTGACAATGACATAATTAAGAAACGAAATTGATCAGTAATACTTGAGATCTTCCAGAAATGGTTTAAATAATATCAAATTCTGTCTCATCAATCAAAACTATATATTTCCATGAAAAAATACACGTATAAGCACTATAGAATGTTATGCATTTCTTTAAATTTTGAATTGGTTATCGGATCATCATTTTTTATCATTTGATGAATTTTTGTTTTCTAAATGTAACTAGAAAGTTAAAAATCATATTGAACAAGTCTCACATATTTTATAAAATTATAATAATTACTTAGACATTTTTTAAGGTACCCGAATTTGATCACGATAAGTAAAAAAAAACACAATTAAGATTGAATAATAAATCTTTATTCAAAATATTGCTTCCTTGTTAAGGAAAACTGTCTGATTATAAAATAATACGCTAGTGAAAAAATTGCTAAATTGAGACTTAAATATCACTGAAATGTGGCGGAAAGGTCACTGAAAGACGACAGAAAGGTCACTGAAAGTCGACGGAATGGTCATTGAAAGACGACAGAAAGGTCACTGAAAGTCGACGGAAAGGTCACTGAAAGACAACGGAAAGGTCACTGAAAGTTGATGGAAAGGTCACTGAAAGTTGATGGAAAGGCCACTAAAAGTTGACGGAAATGTGTCCGCTGAATGGTGACTGAAAGGTATCTGAAATGTGACTGAAAGACAACTGAAAGGTCACTGAAATGTATGTGCCATTCAGTGGCTGAATGGCCACTGAAAAGTTACTGAAAGCCGCCTTTCAGTTTTAACTGAAAGGTCTTGTTTCTTCCTGTGACCATAAACACGTAATCAAGCGCTAAGAACTTATCTCATCTTGTTTACATCTTCTACATATTGTTACATCTTTGCTTTATTAGTTCATTTCTCTCATATTACATGTTCATGTAGATACAGCTCAACGCACTTTCTAAACTAACATGGGCTTTTTCACAAATAAAAGTCACATTCTTATGATGCAAAATTGTATAACGTGACAGCATTATATATCTCAAAAGTGATTTATAACTTCATTGATAATTCATTTGATCCTATTTCATTACTTTTAACATAATTCACACATAATATGGTAGGATTTTTATATGTTCTTTAGTCATAGATTATGACAGATTCCAAATGATTACCGTATAACTGGTTTTTAATGCGGGTGCAAATTTTTGCGATTTGATTCTGAAATAGGTATATTTATTTTTTGCGATTTTAATTTTTGCGATTTCACTTTGACAATAAAGTATATTTTTATTGAATTTTATTACTAGACATTTAAACAATAAAGTCTATTTTTATTTTTTATTGAAAACTAAAGCAATTTAAAATATTACATGTCATAAAAATATTCACATTAAAATACATAAAACACATTTAAGTTTTTTTAAATGGTTAAAAATATTGAAATACATTTCAGAAAATTTCATCAAAATATTTCTATTAAAATACATTAAACACATTAAAACTATAACACAATCACAGTGTTCAATCACATTCACAATCTGTTAGAGAGTAGCTTTTGAATTAAGATTTTCTGCACACTTCAGCAATGCCTGCTTTTTCGAACCCCTTAATCACCATCTCTGGTTGGCTTCTTATGTCTTTGTAAGTTTCTACCAGCCATTTAGCACCAAGCGGTTTTAGAATAAATAGACGGAGGTCAACAGGTTTCAGTGTTTCTATGTCGACACCTTTGTCAAGTTGCTTTGAAATACAGGATGCATACCATCGCTGAAAAGCGTTTTCAGCGATGGTATGCATCCTGTATTTCAAAGCAACTTGACAAAGGTGTCGACATAGAAACACTGAAACCTGTTGACCTCCGTCAATTCATTTTGTCTTTCACGACTTTTTAAATGGAAAGATCCATGGGCTGTAACTTGTCCGTCGTGCTTGGTGGTATATACACAATTTCAATATTCTTTGTTTTCAAATTATCCACGAACTCTCTCGACATCTGCGCTCGGCAAACATCGAAAATACACAGTGACTTTTGAGTGTTAGGTAGCCCAAGCTTTTTCTTGGTTTTATCCATGTGAGGTACTACAACTCGCGATGTGTATTCCATCTGTTTGTCTGTATTGGCCCAATGATTAGGACTGTGAGTTATGTTCCAAGCCAGTGGAAAATCATACTCAGGATGACAAGCAGAAGTTTTCCCCTGGTATATGACTTGTGGAGCTAAAAAATCACCACTCAATGTGCCTAAAATAATTTAAAAATGAATTAGAAGATATCAGTACAGTTAATTTTGTTCTGTTTCTTTTTTCCTTAATTGATACTACAAGCAAAATAATAAGATTGATAATTATCTACATTACCTGCAAAAACAACGGTGACTTGTCTTTTGTCATCAAGACCAATTTTGGGGACTCTCTGGGTGCCCTCCACCTCCATTGTCCATGAGCTAACAGGTACATAATTGATACCGGTATGGTCCCAGTTGTATATTAAGGTAAGGTTTGCGTCTCCCTCCAACTCATATTTTTTTTAATATGCACACATGCTATATATCAATTTATTCAGGGATATTAGCTTAATCATTTAATATGATTTTCAAAGATATCGCCCGTCCCATTTTTTTAGTAAAAGACGCCAAATTTAACGTATTTCATATTTCACCTCGAATATTATTTTCATTGAAAAAATTGATTTATTTTATAAATTATCAAACTTTTATGATTAAAATGACCTGAATTAGTATAATTCATGCTTCTAGTATTTAAACTTTTAATTTTGTGTTATCAAAAATGTGAAAATTTGGGTAAAGAAGAAGATTTTTCAATTTTCCTTGATAAAGTGAAACCGTTGCCATGGCAACAAAAATATAAAAATCCACGTTTTACATATCTCACTGTGTAGAAACGGACTAGGGTAAAATGCGTTACCCTAGTCCAAGATGGCGACAGACAAATACGCTTCGATTATTCTGCACTTAGTTTCAGCGTTATTCAGACTTACATTATAAATTTTGTTGTTAAATTTGAAATATTTCTTACAGAAGAGCACAAAATTTGCGAAAAGTTGGCATGAAATGAGCTAATTAAAGCCAGATTGCGGGTAAAAAATTTCAGCATGATTAGGGTAAAGTAAATTTTTGACTAGGGTAAAGATATTCTGAGTTCTTTTGGTGACTAGGGTAAAGTAAATGTAAAATGTCATTTGCCTTGTTTCAGAACCTAAAAGATCCTATTTTGAGGGCTTTTTTCTCCTTCTAGGCACCTGATCTGACTTCTGGAATTTCTATTGTTTGTAGTTTTCAGTGATAGATCACTGTTATCTTCACCTTTTCCATTGAGCATGAGATTGAAATGAACCGAGTGCAATGGCGATGCACTAGTATTTGCAATTAGTTTATAATCCTCTTTATATCTTGAACATAATATAACAAAAAGAGTAGGAAAAACGGCGCTCTTTTTATTTAGATGCGGCGAGAAAAAAAATCGAACATCTGCAGATCAATTAAAGTATACAGAAAAGGGGGAAGAGAAATGAGAAATATTTTATCAATTTTCATTTTTTTTTTGTTGCACTGACGTGTGCATAATGGCCAGAAGTCGGATGTTTGTAGTATGCGTTCTTACACTGGATCTAAGATCGACAAATGATGCAAAAATTAACACTGCTGTATCTACTGACGTAACTGGCAAAGCATTTATGAGAGAGAAAAATAAATACAGTTCTAAATTTTAAATCATGGCTTCTGATTCTTAAATTTCAGTAACTTTTTTTTCTTCAAAAGTTTTTCTTTAATAAAGTGAAAGGCCAACTTTTTCCCAGACCATCTTCTCTCAGTACATGTGCCTTTTTGCATAAAATACTATGTTATTACTAATATAAAGTTACTGTCACAAAAATAAGGGGGGATCAGTCTTTCATTGAACAGTTTTAACAGTAAGAGTTATGTCAGGCCCCCTGTCCGCCCTCTGTAGTTACGTACCTTGGGCACGAACTCTGTTTTTTTTATGTGAAGTTTCAGTGTTCAACTGCACACATCAGTGAGCACAGACAGACAATGCTGGTGAGTTGGTTTTGCTTTTTGACATTTCTACTCTACTTTTTCTGGATTTTAGTTTGATAAATTTTATAAAAACA